GGGTCCACGTGGTTGAAAGGGTTTGAATATTTCGTCCATCTACGGTAGTAGTAACAAGAAGCTACTAGGAACCACCGGGCGGTCAATCCACATCTCACCGGGCGGCCACATCTCGCCCGTCACATAGTCGCGTCGGCCCAGCTCGTTGCAGAAGCGCTGGCCATCGGCATTGATCACCAGACCGCCTTGTGTCACCGTGGTTCAGGAGTGACGAAACTCCGAACTGAGCGAAGAAGAAGAAGAAGAAGGGGCACATTGAATTGAATCGCAACATGCGGAACCGTATGGAACTCAATCTGGGGTTCCAGGCCCACCCCGCGCAGGGCCTCCGCGGCCAAGAACTTGATCTTGGCCTGGCAGGGTCCGTCTTTTTCAAATGGTTCAAGATCCTTTCCAACTAACTATCAATCTGGACTATATATCTTGACAATCTTCCTGTCCTTTACGATTTGCGTTGGACGATCTCGACTTGGTCTACCATCGGCGCCCCCAAGCACGAGGTTTCTGACAGCAGCAGCTTATCTTTGGGGGGAGGGCTGGCCTCAGTGAAAGATACACCGATCTCGACCTTCTAACAGTTCGGTGGTGCAGAAGAACAAGTTTCGCGATACCAAAACTAAGTGGTACTAAGTGGCTGGTTCTGCACAGATATGTCCCTTCCTCCAAGAGTTCCAAGGGACTTCCGACAGTATGCAGAATCCATTCCATCAACGTGATCAACTGTCTCTTCAACTAGTTCTTGATCTCCATGTTGCCCCCACAAGTGCTATGGAGCACCAAAAACCAAAGCCATTCACCAAAGACAGTAGCAAAAACATGCAAAAACCCGAAGTTCTCGAACCCTGTAGAAATTCCCCCTGGATCCCAACGAAGTCACCACACGATGTTCAGACCCCAGTCCCCCGTCCTCGGGATCATCGGGCTCGACCAAGCCGGTGGGATGAACCTGGTTTCGACCCGAAAAAGCCGAGGCAAAGGTTTTGGTGTCCGGGTCCCCTGCAAACCAGAGAAGATCGATGTGAATTTGATGTGAATTTGATCCTTCATATCCATTCACCTGGCCAAACTCTTCCAAAGAGATAGTTGGATTGACATAATATAGGGCCGATGGGACTTTTGGGTGATCAAGACCTCCTTCTGAGAGGCTCCATTGGGTGATTCATTCGTCTATGTCCAAGGCCGGAGTCCGAGTGGTTTCTCTTTACATCAATTCCTCCACCCCCGTCCCGTTCAAAACACGTCGCTCCGAAGCAAACCTGTCAAGATGAGAATCAACTTCCTTTTGCGGGGTGATGGCTGTATAGTCGGGAGGATAAGGCGGCAGTCTCCAGCATTGATTAAAGTTATACCTGAACTTGCGATTGGAAGACTTAGAAGAGGAAGACATCAACTGGATCCTTCCACAAATGTCTGTCCTGCACAAGGGCATGGACTCAATTGATTAGAGTGAACTCCAAAACTGACCAGTTCATCCTCTGTCCATATCAATCAGTATAGAGAGAACGTCCAAAACTCACCCGCAGCTCAGGTGTAGAGCCATGGTCCCGAGCCATCACCCGATGAAAACCACCCGAGTAGGCCCGCAGCCCTGCCCCAACGAAGCCCCGAGCACCAGCAACTCCTGGGTCTTCGTGAGTCTTCATGCGCCCGGAAAACATGCGAAACAGAAGGGCCCTCCGAATCGCACCTGCACCCATTCCAAGTCAATGCTCTTGGCGCCGATGGCCTCGCCCATCTTGATGCCATCACCTGAGTGGGTCACTCACTGGGTGTCGAGAAACACGCGCGGGACGCAGCACGTGACCCGGGGCCACACGGCACCAACGACCAGTCCAACGGGGATCTGGCCAGGTCCACCGCTAGTCGTTCGGTGTTTTCGCATGGTTTGCCCCGAATCTGGGTTCCATCACAAAGCTTGCTACACGAGCAACAAACAGACATGCTGACATGCCATGTAAAAGCCAACAGTTGCAAGAAAGTGAGGGCGGTCTCAACCAAAAACCACCAAATCAACCACTAGGTCCCTACTTCTGTGGTCTTTCCGGCGGTCTGTGGCATGTTCCTACCTCACTGGATCCGACCACCTCTGTCACCCTCGGACCAGTGTATCGAGCCGCCGGTGGTGTGGTCACCATTGGTGGTGGGCAAATGGAGGAGGTCCGGTCGGTACTTGGCCAGCAAAGAGTCCTGGATGAACAAGATGTGCCAAGAACGTCTTGAGTTGACACACGGGTAGCTGTATCAAGACTCGAGCAACGGTAGCAGGTATAAATATAAAGCAAATTGGATCTCCGCTTGCTGATGCGAACGTGCGGGGTCGAACTTTCTTAAACAAGGCACTGCCCCGACTGCACCGCAAAATAGACGAGAACCAGGGCAACGCAGCCGTTTCGGAAAATCCAAGCCTACAACCAATGAACATCTCTTGACCCAACTGTATTTCGATTTGTCTCCCAGAATGCCTCTGTGAAGTCCGCGCCGAAGCCCCCAGTGGCCAGGATCACAGGGCCTTCTTCAGTGAAGTCTTTGCCTCACAAGAAACTGTTGACCTCATAGTTTACCATATTGCCAGGGCTGCCACAACTTACATTGTTTGATAGAGAGCATACAATCCACAGCAAGCTGTTCTTCAAAACTTCTTTTCGGAAAACACATCGTCAAAGCGGAAGGACTTGATCATCCACAGTTGTGTCGGATCTGCCTTTCTTCTCATAGGAAACGCCGCACACGGCATCGCCCTTGGTCAAGAGCGTCTTCACTTTGGCCTTCGGAGCGCTTGTGTTCGGGTCACTTGGGCAAGAGATGGATCGCTTCGTTCCATTGGAACCTTTGGATCGCTGGAGAACCTCCAGCCCATCCGCGCTGCCAAGCGATGGAGTTCTCCGGTGTCTTCCCGAAACGTGCCGCTTCTCTCGGGCAGCTCGGGGCGAGCGGAACTCGGGCGCGAGCGAGCGGCGAGCGAATCCGATTCCGAACCGGAAGGACTCCAGGTGAAAAGGTCTTCATCCCCAATGCCCTGCCAGCCTGGAAAAAAGTCCTTGAGGAGTACAACACCTGCCTGCACAACACGTGTGCCATCCAAAATTCACTATGCCACCCTCAGTACGAAACCTAGATCATTGCCCTGATAAAGAAATATAAATTCTTTAAAAAAAAAGACATGAAAAAAAAGGATCTTCAACAACTCTCAATTTCAAGCTGGTCAAACCACCAATCGAACACAAAGCAACACATCCTAAGCAAACACTCCCCCGTTGTAACAAAAAGAAAGATTGAGGGTGTGCACTGTGCACCGAAGATGTCCTCCATTCACTTCCCACATCGGTGCGCCTTGTTGATGATGCGGGCCAAATCGCTGCGCTCAGAGATCTTCTCGACCATCTGGATCAAGGCGTAGGTGATGGTCATTCCTCCACTTCATCAAGAAGAGTAGAAACAGGCCAGATTTGGAGGGATGTCCTCTGCAAATTTGCGACATTTCTGGCCAACTGGATTTCAATGGCCCACTCATTCACTCATTTTGTCGAACAAATCCCTACCCGGAATTCTGGATGGATCATCCCAAATACCCATCATCTTCCAAATTTTCAGAGCGAGAACCATCAAGTGTCTGGCTTAGACACTTTTGTGTGTTTGATATGCTCCAACTGTGCGATCAAACTCAGCGCTTGGAAACAGGCATCGGCGATGACCTATCAGTCTAAATGCGCTAAAAATTGGTGTTTCTTTGTTCTTTCTGGATCGGCCTGGTTCTTTCTGGTTTCAAACGCACCGCTCCGCGTCGAAACCCAGGCCGGACCCTGGCCGGACCCCGGCCCTCCGCCCGGTCCTGGGAATCGCTCCTCGCCGCGGTGGGTGCGAGGCGCCGAGTGGCCACCCAAGCGCGCCAGGAGGGACCTCGCTCGCTACGAGGCGAGGCGAGGCGTGAGGCTCGGAGCAGGTCCGGAGGCCGTCCATCGGAGCGAAGAAGAGGCCACGGTCCGGAGGCCTTCATCGTTCTGCATCAATCAGCGATTGAAGAAACATCCTTATGTTCAATTTGCATAACATTGAAACTGGAATACGCTGGTCGTCACAGACCCTGTGGACGGGGCAGTCACTTGCATGATTGGACGCAGTCTGTCAGTTGCTATTGTGGGGTGTTCTCGCCTGACCTGCAGCATTCTGTGGGGTGGCAGGAGTTGGCACAAGATTGACTCACCTACTTACCAGCACTTCCCGACCCAAAGCCTGCAGCTAGCTGTGGTCCGATTTCTTGCCCGTTGTTTCTGCCGCGGGTGCCCCCCAATTGTGTGGAACCACTTTGTGCTCCAAGCGCTTCGGATGCTAAAGCGCTTGACCCACTTGTGGGCAGAGCGGCATATCAAGATCAAACTTGTCCACCAGCCAGTCCACGTCAGGCCCACTGTTGCCGCACAGCACCTGCAACAATGCAACCCAGCGAAGCCATGCAACCCAGCGAATCAATCCAGCAAAAGTCCAGCTGACCAGTTTCGCTCAAGCTGGTGGAGCTGCATATAATGGCGGGGTTCACGCAAAAATTTCACATTTGAGCACTCGACACGCACGATCTCCGCAAAGGGTTGCCGCGGCACAGCCGGAATTCGCATTTTGCCTCACGTTTGAGCACTCGACACGCACGATCTCCGCAGAAATTCACATTTCGGAAGCCCTGTCTGGCTAGGCCCCGGCCTGAGAAAGAAGAGTAAAGTAGCCGAGATACATCACGCACGCGCGAACAAACATATGCTTTACTCTATGCTAACATATGCTTACGTTTGCATATGATGCATATGTGCTTACTGAAGCAAGACCCCAGCGAAAGTCACACGTGATTTTGCATATTATAAGTCTACTTAAGCAAGACCCCAGCAAAAGTTATACTTGACTTTGCATATGGCTTTACTAAAGCAAGATCCCAGCGAAAGTTATCCAAGCAAGATCCCAGCACCAAAGCAATTCATCAAAGCAAGATCCCATCACCAAAGCTGCAGATGTACTTGTAATGCAGCTATATAGGCTATATACATAAGTCCCAAATGTCTGGTAGAAAACCAGGCATGCAAGCTGCAGCTTGTAGCATACACACCAATGCAGCTATATAAGATTGGAAAGAAACAGCCAGAAAAACAGCTCCCAAATGTATTGATGCAAATGTGTTATGCAAAAGATTTCTACAGAAGAACCCTGCGCAATGCTCCTGGGAAAAAAGACACATGCACCTTCACCAGCTCGGGCTTCTTGGCTCCACCCTTGAGGGTATCCGAAGTGAAGAGCTGCACAGAGTCCTCCACCTTCTTGGCCTCCGTTCGGCGGACGCACTTTCGGCGGCGTCCCGCGCGTTAGCGGGAAACGTTTCGGCCCGGACTGCACCGGAAGAGAAAGCAGCTCTTTTTCTTTCAACGGTGTAAAAACAAGGGGTCCCGTATTGAGGGTTGTAGAAGGAGAGGGAGAGAGAGGTTGACGCGTCAATTTTCGGGGTGTATCTCCAAATCAGGGATTGGAGAGGTAAGCATCGTAGGCATTGAAAATACAACATATTATCTGTTCTTTTGATTTGGTCTCCAATATAAAATCTATTAAAATCTGCTATATTTTCCTCTACAAGAGGCGGAATGGTCCTTTCTCCATGCATAGGCGGTGCCCATCTCCCATAGAGCCTTCATCCGCTTTTCCATCACTTGTCCTTCTTTCCGGGTGGCTTGGGTCTTGTTACTTGGAGAAAACACCACAGGAAACCAAAACGACTCATCACCCAGTCCCCGGCCTTCTGTGTTTGAGTCTCCGCCCCATTGATGCCACTCGTGGCCTGGTCAGTGTGGACTCCATCGGGTTCTGCCAATGCCAGCGATGTCTGTCATGCCTTAAAGAACACATCTAGCGGTCCAATTTGGGAATCACGGTCCATCATCTATGGAGGATTTATATACTGCCGAACAAAAAATATGCACGGAACCTAGGCACATCAGAAACCTAAAGCAATGCAATGACACCAAGTAAAGGGTTTCTACTTTGAATCACAACGCGAATGTACCAAAATGCAGGTTTCTTGCCTTTTCAGCATGTCAATTGCAACGATGGCTTCATGTGCAGGCCCAGTACATGCGAAAGTGAAGTTCACCTTTGCCTTTGCCTTTCAGTCGTGTCCACACATTCTGCCTTGACAGGTGAACTCATCTTGTTTGCCCTGCCCGAAGCGTTTTGTTCTTCTTCCCTGTCGGGCTCCAGGCAACATAATCTACGAGACACGTGGCACGGGGCACATGTCGGGGCACGTGCGCCGTGTGGAAGAAAGCAACAGGAAGCAACTCCAGGAGAAAGTGAATCATTGAGCTCATTGAGCCGCTCCTCCCAATGAGGCTCAGGGCGGTCCTCGCACGTGTCACGACCATCCGCTCAGAACGATTCCTCCCCACTCAGCCGAGCAATGACACAAACGTACCACGTTCGCCCCCGACGGGTCCGACAGCAGAGTCGCACAACACGAAACGAGGTGAAGAACGACGAATGCTGGTTGAACGCCCGAAGTGAGGCTCAGACTTCCGACAGCAAGTTCCAGCCAGTCTGACCACGATCTGTCAAGACTGGACACCAAAGTCGGATCATGGCAGAGTCCAACACCTGTGCTCCTTGATTGCAATTCTTCAACACCTGTGCGTGTTTTCTTCGAGACGCAACAAGAGAACGAGTGCCAGACCAAAACGGAGTCCCGCCTGTGACGAAGCAACGTACCTTCCCACCCAACTCCCACCCTCAAAAACAAGTCTTGCCACCAACAACATGCAGTCTTGCCCCTGCCCAAGCTCATCGAAACCTTGTGAAGCAGTGAAGCCCCTGCAGAATCTCGTCGGCAACCAGAAGTCCCGTCGCCCTACCAGATCATGGCGTCGTTTTGCTCCGGGAGGGGGGCGCCTTCGTGGAGTTTCCGCCACAAAAGGCCGACTTGTCCACCAAGACGACCTGGCGACAGCTGCGCCAGCGGGTTGGTCAGTGCAGGGCCGGGCACCCCCCGGTGGACTCCCAAGGCATGAAAAGAGGTATCAGGAGGCGGGGCCTTGTACATCCACTAAAACCAGATGGTCTACGAAAAGACCCTTGCTGCAAGACCACTGAGTTGTAGAAAAGAGTCTTTAATAGGGATCATTTTCAGGGTCCGTGTGAGTACCCGATTGTGGGTCCTCCAAGCACCAGTGGAATGCTCAACAATCGCCGACCAAACAGTCACCGATCGAGGTGGAAGACCCACAGCAAGCTCGCTCCTTCTTTTCATGGCAGCTTCGGACAGCCCTTCAAGGCATCTTTGGTCAGAAGCTCCAGCACGAACAAGTGCCAAGATCATTTCCAAGTGCACGAAGCACATCTTACAACCTGCAGCACTATGAGGAGCCTCCTTCAAATGCTCCATCTTCATCTTCGCCAGCATCGCCAGTGGCGTCCTCCCGGCCCCATCCGCTCGGTTCACCTCCGCACGCGCGGCCAGTAACGCCCACAGCGTCTCAGGCCAGTCCATCCACGTAGGGCGTCGCGCCGCCGCGTCCAGGAGCAGCAGCAGTGGTGTGAGGCCGTTGTGATCCACCAGGTCGACCTGAGCACGCGCCGCCAGCAGCACTTCCACTGTCTGGTGGAAACCTGGACGGATGGGAGGAGTGGAAGCAAGGACGTGGAATCGGAAAGAATGACAAGTTCGGTTCCTTCACGAACTGCAACTCTGGGAGCATAAGTTCAAGCTCAGGCTGGATTGAACGGTACTTCCTCCAGGTCTAGCTCCCATCCAACACAATGGATAGCAGCTGCACAAACATGACCATTCCGAGCAAACATGTTTGGTCGACCCACCCTCTGGAACCACCCCCAAACCGAGCCGGCCTTTTTGAACTGCTGCAGTGAACGCTTCTTGGGCGCCTTGGAGACCGGCGGCCAGCAGAAGATGAACCACTTCGTGGTGGCCTTGGTCGGACACCACAAAGGGTTCCGCTTCCTTCCCAAACAGGAAAGATGGTTTGTGGAGGAAAACCGGTCTGAAAGAGGAGTTGCTTCTGGCACATTGAGCAGAAGAGACCTATCCCAAAATGTAAAAACACCTCTGAAGCGGTACCGAGATGGATTATAAACACTTTTGGCGAGCTATGGTCACTCGCACACCCTCAAAAATAGCGGTTGTGTTTCTCACCCTGCACACGTTGCGTCATCAGCGCAAGGAACATGGAGCCCTTGCTAGGGACTTTCTGGTGTTTTGTTAGCAGTTGTTGTGAAGGACCATGACAAACTCCAAGAATTCCTGTAGAACCAAGAAAGATGGCCCGGAAAGATATATAACACATCCCCCAGAAGGAGGCTCTCCCAGCTTTCTGATCTTTGCAAGCCCCCGGCCTGCACCAAACGAACAGTCGCTGATCAAGAATATCCGTCCCTGATCCCCCTTCAAATTCCCATGGAGACGATGGGCCTTCATTTTGTAGCAATGATTTGGGGGGCAGCGTTTGGCAATATAAAATGCAAAGCGCCCGAGAACACTCAATATAGAAAGCAATGGCGGATGAAAAAGTTATCATCGAAAAAGAAACGGAAAAGTGCACTACAAAATGGAGGATGAAACCTAAGGCTTTCCAAAACTGGTAGGCTACCTGAGAAGCTGCAAAACGAAAGCCGGCGTTTTTTGTCCACGAGCGCGTTGTAAAGAGAGATAATAAAAGTGCAGTGGTAGCTACCCTGGGTCCTCTAGCCTGGGTCCGCGCGCGGACCCAGGGCAGCTACATGGCAGTTGCCAGGTATAGCACTTCAATTTCCCTTTCCGTCAACCGCTACCGTGACAAACGTG